TTTTTTTTTTTTTTGAGTTGGATTCTCACTCTGTTGCCTAGGCTGGAGTGCAGTGGCACAATCACGGCCACCGCAGCCTCAACCTACTGGATTCAGGTGATCCTTCTGCCTCAACCTTCCAAGTAGCTAGAACCACAGGTGCGTGCCACCATGCCCAGCTAATTTTTTCTTTTTAAATTCTATTGTAGAGCCGGGCTCGGTGGCTCAGCCTGTAATCCCGCACCTTGGGAGGCTGAGGTGAGTGGATTGCCTGAGCATGCATGTTCAAGAGCCACCTGGGCAACTTGGTGAGACCTCATCGCTACAATAAATTAAAAAAAAAAATTAGCCTGGCATGACAGCACACACCTGTAGTTCCAGCTACTTGGAAGCTGAGGTGAAAGGATCACTGGAGCCCAACAGGTCAAGGCTGCAGTGGCCGGGAGCTGCCACTGCACTCCAGCCTGGGCGACAGAGTGAGACTCCAACTCAAAAAAATAAGATAAAATAAAATAAAATCTATTGTAGAGACAAGGTCTTGCCAAGTTGCCCAGGCTGGTCTTGAATCCCTGGGCTCAGGCAATCCTCTTGATTCTGCCTCCCAAAATGCTGGGATTACAGGCTCTAACCACCGCGCCTGGCCTTCCTTTTTTCTTAATGTATGCACTAGGAGTTCTAGTACACAGAAGTGGGTATATTTGTCTAATTCTTAAATTTGTATAAATACTTTTAGAGAATGATTCTAGATAATACTTTTTGAGGATAAGGAGCAGGAAAGGCGTATGGCTCTGATTGCCAGCAAGATATCTGGAGGTTGGTATTTGGGGTTGACTGGAGATTTTTGGCACTTTGTTTTATAGGTGGAGCTACTCTGGGTCATGACATGGGTGAAGCAACACTTTGTTTCTCTTAGTAGTTCAGCCCCCGCTCCATGCTTACATTGGCCTGTGGCATGACCTTGCCTCCCTGGGCAGGTATCAGACCCTGGGTCCCCCCTCCTCATCCCCCCAGTCTTCAAGGCCTAGATCCTATTCAGAAGACCCATGAGGCCCCTGGGCTTTAGCCTATTCAGGTCCTCACTTCAAGTTTCCTTTCTGGTTCTGGCACTTGGGAGTTTCCTCACTTTCTTTTGAGCTTGACTCCATACCCAAGAATTATGTGGTTGGGTATTAATTTATGTAGACTTTTTTTCTGTTGTTTTTGTTCTTTTTTTTTCCCCTCATTCCACTTTATTCTCTATTATTTGGAATTTAGATACTTGATTTTTCTTCTTGAAATTTTCTTATGAACATTTAACTTAACAAAGTCTAAAGTTAGACAATGTCTTGACTTCCCTCCCAAACAGCACAAGGTCTTTCAAACACTTTCATCTCATCTGTATTAAGTGATTGTTATCTGGTCCTGTCTTTGTAAACCACAAATTAGACACTATTGCTATTTTATGCAGTGTTTGTATTTATCTATGTTTGCAATTTTATCTGTTCATCATTTCGTCTTGCATCCCAGGTGTCTTTAAGGACTTTTCCCTTTAAAATTTCTTTTTTTAGAGCAGGTTTCTCAGATTTTGTTTGTAGGTAAATGTATGTATTCGGTCTCCATTTTTCAAAGACATTTTCCCTCTGAGTAGAAAATTCCAGGTTAGTAGTTATTTTCTCTCAACACTTTGAAGATGTTTGCCTTGGGATTCTGTCTATTGTTGCTGTTGAAATTTTCTCTTACTCTTTGTAAGCAGGCAGTTCTTTCTCTCCTCTCCTGATCTTCTCTTTGTCTTTGTCCTCTGCAGTCTAGGCATGAATGCGTTTTTATTTGTCCAACCTGGGCTCGGGTGAGGTTGGGCTTCCTGGATCTGTGGATCCATATTTCTTATCAGTTTGGGGAAAGTTATATCTATTTTTGCTTAGTTATTGCCTCTTCTTTTGTTTTCCTTCTAGAATTTTGTTTAGAACTATATGAGACCTTTCCATCCTATCCTGCAAGTTTCTTAAGCTCTCTTTTATTTTTCCCATCTTCTGATCCTTTTTGGGTTTTGTTTGTTTCATTATTGATTCATTCCTGGATGCATCTCAGTTCATGAATTCTCTTTTTAGCTGCATCTAATGTGGTATTTAACTGTCAATTAAGCCTTTTAACTCAGTGACTATATTTAAAAATCTTTAGATACTATCTTTTCCAGATTTACTTGTCCATCTCACTAGTTTCTTGTTACATGTTTTTGTAATTTTGTTCTTTGTTTCTTAAACACTTCACACACAACTTCTGGTGGTAGCCATAGACAGGAGAATGAGAGCAGTCCACCTTAGTGGGGAGGAGGTTTCTTTTTGTTTTTGTTTTTGTTTTGAGTCTGTGTCTCACTCCGTCACCCAGGCTGGAATGCAGAAGCATGTTCATGACTCACTGCAGCCTTGACCTCCTGGACTCAGGCAATCCTCCCACCTCAGCCTTCCAAGTGGCTGGGGCTGCCTAATTTTTTTTTTTTTTTTTTTTGTAGAGACGAGGTCTCACTATGTTTCCCAGGCTTGTGTTGAACTCCTGAACTCAAGCCATCCTCCTGCCTTGGTCTCCCAAAGTTTTGGGATTACAGGCATGAGCCCCTGCACCTGGCCTGCCTGTTCTTTTTGCTAGTAGCCATGGAGCAGCTCCAACCCATGACCCTTTCCAACCCCCCCTAGGGGATTTGTCTTTAAGCAGACATTCCAGACTCAATTTCCACAGCTGCATTACGGGTGCAGGGATCTGACCAGGGAGCAGCCCTGCCCTCCTGGTTGCCCGCTAGTCAGGCCAGCTCCCCATCATTCTGGTTCCTGCTGCTGTGGCCCCGCCATCCCCGGTCCTTTCCAGCCTCCACATATCTCAGACCACCTCGGCAGTCGTGATGTTGGAAGCAGAAATTATCAAGCATTTATCCAGAGTTTACATAAATCAGGGCAGGAGACGGGGCTCAGTGTTCCAGGTTGTCTGAAAGTTTTCCACCTACTTCTATACATGAACTCCTGGCAGCCCCCATTTTTATTCAACCCAGCTGAGCCTGGAGGGCTGGTCTGCAGATGGATGCTACAACCTCAGAATGTGGCCAGTTCCAAGGTCCCCTAAATTGCTTAGCACTGTGTTTAAGGAGACGGTAAACCCCTTGGGCGTCAGGCGTCTAACTGGTGTCTTCTCATCCTGAGCAGGCTGTCCAAGGCACTGGCCTGGCTTTCATCGTCTACACTGAGGCCATTAAAAACATGGAGGTGTCCCAGCTGTGGTCGGTGCTCTATTTCTTCATGCTGCTGATGCTGGGCATTGGGAGCATGCTGGGGAACACGGCAGCCATCCTCACCCCTCTGACCGACAGCAAGGTCATTTCCAGACACCTGCCCAAGGAGGCCATCTCAGGTCAGCGGGCCAGCTGGCGGAGTCGGGGCGGGCAGGGGAGGGCCCGGGATGAGGCTGAGCAGGGATGAATGTCTCCGGGGGCCATGCCCTGGCAGAGGTGACCACAGAGGGCTGCAGCAGCCTCACCACAGTCCTGTCACATCTTCTCACAATCTGGGACCCGGCCCATGGGATCCACCCTATGCATTTCATTATCCACATCATGGGGAAGTGAGTGGCCATCCCAAGCATGGAAAAGTTTCCACTTCCCACCCCGGCACTCGAAAGCCCTCCAGGCTGGGAGAACTGCTTTTGTTTTGTTTTTTGGTTTTTTGGGGTTTTTGTTTTTGTTTTTTGAGTTGGAGTCTCACTCAGTTGCCCAGACTGGAGTGCAGTGGCCACTCCCGGCCACTGCAGCCTCAACCTGCTGGGCTCCGGTGATCCTTTTGCCTCAGACTTCCAAGTAGCTGGAACTACAGGCGCGCGCTACCACACCTGGCTGATTTTTTTATTTATTGTAGAGATGAGGTCTCACTGCCCAGGCGGGTCTTGAACCCACGGGCTCAGGCAATTCATTCACTTGGCCTCCCAAAGCAGGGGATTACAGGCTGAGCCACCGAGCCCGGCATTGTCTTGTTTTAATGGAAATACAACTGTAAAGTTCACATTTCTTAATAATGAATTTTACATATGTATCCACCCAGGTAACCACCACCTAAGTCAAGAAATAGGATATTTCCCAGCCCCAGGGAGTGCCTTCACCTCCTTCCCAGCAATATGTACTCCCTGAGGTCACCTCCATTCTGACTTCTACATTTTAGGTTTTCTTTCTTCCTGTTCTTGAAATTCATATGAATGAAGTCATAGTTAGCAAGGACTTTTTTATTTTCAAAGTCAGAGTCTCACTCTGTCACCCAGGCTTGAGTACCATGGCGCTCTCACAGCCACCACAGCCTCGATCTGCTGGGCTCAAGCGATCCTTCTGTCTCAGCCTTCCAAGTAGCTAGAACTACAGGTGTGCGCCACCACACCCAGCTAATTTTCTTTTTTGATTTATTGTAGAGACAAGGTCTGCCAAGTTGCCCAGGCTGGTCTTGAACCCTTGGGCTCAAGCAGTCCTCTCACCTCAGCTTCCCAAAGTGCTGGGATTACAGGTGTGAGACACTGCACCCAGCCAGCATGTACTCTTTATTGTCTTCACTTAGAATCTGTCTGTGAGATTCATCCATGTTGCTGCGAGCAGCAGTCACCCATCGTTTTTCTGTAAGATCACATGCCACACTTTTTTTATCCACGCTGCCGTCGATGGATATTTGGGTTGTTAGGGAATGATCCGGCCTTTCCAGACATCTCTCACGGTTTCACTCTGCCACCCACCGACTCTGTTCTACCAGGGCAGTGTCCTGCAGATGAAGTGGCCAACCACCTCTGCTGGTGATGTCACCTCCCTTCTCCACATCCAGGACAATCAAACTAGCTCCCATCCCTCCTCCTTCAAGCCCTGACCACCCCAGCTGGAGCTGCCCCCTTCTTCAGAGTCCTCCAGCATTTGACGTCCTTCCTTGGGCCTGGTCTCTGTAGCCAACACTATGTGTGCCTGCAGGTCCTTGACCAACTCACCCCCCCTTTCTCCTGTGTGTCCCTGGCAGGATGGCAGTGGAGTTCAGTGGCTGGCAGTGCGTGGTCCAAGAGTGGAAATGGCAGACGGGAGTTTTAGGCTTAAACATCTCATGGGGTGGCTATAGGAGGACCCAAAAAATCCAAGTTCCGGAGGCTGAAGGACCTGTGTGAATTCCGCCTCTGCCTCTTATGTGCTGGGGAATGCTGGGGGAGTTACTCAACATCTCTGAGCCCTGGCTTCCTCATCTGTGAAAGAGGGCTTCTGATTCCCGTCGCAGGGTCTCATGCAGGGCAAGCATCTGGCGTGGAGGAGGATCTGGGTTAACGTTCGTTTCTTCCCCCCTTTCTGGGGGATGCCATTTCCCTCTAGGAGGTCCCAATGGGGGCACTCCATATTCAAGCTCCTCTTCTGATTCACTTCCCATGTGCCTGGGGCTGAGTTGTTGGGGTGGACAGCCCCACGGCCTGGGTGGACTCCTGGGACCACAGTGCCCACTGCTTCCATCATGCCTTGGAGCTGGATGCCCCACCCTTGCAGAGAATTAACATCAGTGACTCCTGCCAATATGCTTTGGGACACCTCTCTGCCCCCCCCCCGCTGCCAACACACACGCAAATACCTTCAGAGAGGCCAAACCATGCAATCTCTTCTTACCCCGGGGATGGACCAGTTGGCCCAAGTCCCCTTAGGGGTTCCCGCTGCCCCCTTGAGAATGGGTGAGCAGGTAGTGGAGCGCGAGGTGGGCGAGCAGCTGGTCTTGTGGCCCCCAGGTCTGGTGTGCCTCATCAACTGTGCCATCGGCATGGTGTTCACCATGGAGGCCGGGAACTACTGGTTTGACATCTTCAATGACTACGCAGCCACGCTGTCTCTGCTGCTCATCGTTCTGGTTGAGACAGTCGCCGTGTGTTACGTGTACGGGCTGAGGAGGTGAGGAGACCTAGCCCCCAGGTGCCCAGGGTGGGGAAGACACAGCCAACGAGGCCACCCCCCACAAGAAAAATAACTGCTTCTCAATGTGCACTTCACTTCTTTAAGCCTGGGATCATTATTCCAAGTTTAATCTTTACCCTCAGATCTCAGCGAGTTCCCTGCCTCGCCTCCACCCTCAGTCTGCCTTCTGCCAGAATCGTCTCTCTCTGTCTTCTGCATTTTTGCTTTGTATTACAGGATGTTTGCTGGTTGACCCTGCTGGACCCCCACTGCTTACAGGGGCAGGGAATTGTGCCTCCAGGCACTAGGTACTCTGATCATTGGCCAACATCAGTATTTTTCAAGAACCCTGACCAAAGTCCAGTTGATAAGACAGAAAATTTGGCAAATTCAAAAAATGCAGTCAGTCAAGTTCTCAATCCCAGGCGCACAGCAGTGCCGGGATGTTTGAATTCTCCCCGGGGTGATGGAATGTCCAGCTGGAGTCAAGACCACTGGTCAAGGGCAGCTTTCAAAGTTGAGTGTGCATCAGAGCCCCGGGGGCTGGTAAAACATGACAACGTGAAGGGTCTCACACCTAGAGGCTCTGACTAGGCAGGTCCAGGCAAGGTCCCAGAAGTCACATTTCTAACAAGTTCCCAGGTGAGTCTGGGGACCCTACTTTGAGAACCACTGGTCTAAATGTTCCAGTCTGAGTAAATGCTCGGCTGCTATCTCTCAACACCAATAAATCGAGAGTTAGGGAACTGGCAGAAAGACGTTTATCTCTGAATTCAGAATTCAGGGAGACAGAACCTGGCTCCTGGCATTTCTGGAACTGGTCTGCTTGCCCCTCAGCTTCCACGGTCCGTTTTTATAAGTTTAGGGTTGCTGGTACCTACCCGTTGGCTAAGTGACTGGCAGAGCATTGTATAGGACTTAAGTTACAGCCACATTTTGTGACTAGTAACATTTATGGTCCGCATTTCCTGGCCCCGGCTACCAAAAGGTAGCTCACAGTGTTATCAGTAGCACCAAACCAAAGAGTTGATCAAGCTCACCATAGAGTAAGGGAGTTAACAGAGCCTATTACAAAGTAAAACATTATTCACTACAACATAATGTTGATTGGTAGCTATAATACGCAAAAAGTTATATAAATTACAAGGCTTGCAATTACATGGGTGCTATATTTTTCTTTTCTTTTCTTTTTTGAGTCAAAGTCTCACTCTGTCACCCAAGCTGGAGTGCAGTGGCACTCTCATGGCCACCCCGGGGTCAACCTGCTGGACTCAGGTGATCCTTCCACCTCAGCCTTCCAAGTAACCGAAACTATAGGCACCTGCCACCACACCCGGCTAATATTTTGATATATTGTAGAGACGAAGTCTCACTGGGTTGCCCAGGCTGGTCTTGAACACCTGGGCTCAGGCAAGCCTCTCGCCTCAGCCTCCCAAGGTGCTGGGATTACAGGCTTGAGTCACTGCGCCGGGCATTTTTTTTTTTTAAATGAGGAAGCAGGATTTATTGAGAGGACAGAAAAGTTCCCACAGTGGGAGGGGACCCGGAAGGATTGCCATATATTTTTCAAATCTTTGACTACTAATAAAAGGGAGGGAATAGGAATTCATTTTTCTCAGTTGAGTGAGCAGAGTCTGACGGGGGCTAAGGGTCCTTTGAAGTGACTCATGGGGAATGTATAGGAGATAAGGGAACACACTTTTCTGTGTCAGTTCTCAGGAATGTAGATACGTGCAGGCCCGCTCGATCGCTTGTGAGGCCTCTCTTTAAGGGTTGTGGCAATATGGATAGACGATAATGGGTTTCTGTATCATAAAGAGCTTTGACCAGGTGTGGTCCAGAGCAGCAGGATCTTTCAGGACTGTGGATCCTGCACTTCAACAAGTCCTGGGGTCCGAGGCACAGCACAGTTGGGCAGCGCTGCACACATATGAGCCAGGATAGGGGAGATGGGCACCGTGCTGAATTGTTTTCCTGCCCTTTTCCCCGGTCTTTTCTGATCCTCTGAGCAGTCTGGGCTGGGGAGGAAGTCAGTGGCAGCACTGTGGGAGACAGGAATCCCCCGAGCGGTGCTTATCACTGTGTCCCTGGAAGCGCCAGGGTCCCATGTCGTGCTGAGGGATCCTCCGTGATCCATTCTTCTCTGCGTGGCAGGCTAGGTCATGGCCGGAGCCGCAGAGGACAAAGTTTTCACCAAGACAGCCATGAGTTAAGAAAGGCAGATTTATTAAAGGGAAGATAACGTCGTGAAGGGCACAACAGGCCAAACAGCAGAATGTCTGCTGTCTCTGCAAAGAGGCAAGAAACCAGAGGGTTGTTTTTTTTTATAAGCAAGGCACAGTGTGGGCCAGGGAACTGTCTTTGGGGGAGGTCTGCAAAAGGACATTTCCAGAGGTTTATGAAGCAGCTGATTGATGGTGATATTTTGTTTCTTTCAGATAAAGTTAGTTAACAGCAATAAGTAGCTAACAACAAATTGTTTACTAATTTTTGTTCACTGCAAATATTTTATAGGTGGCCAATCAGCTTTTTACAACTCTTTGCTTTTATCAGTAAGTTTCTTTGTGACATTTGTAAAACTCATCCTGAGTTTTCCTTCCTCAGTTTCCCCAACTGCTGCTGGCCTAATCGGGCCTCCTATTCCTCCACGCATTCATTTTAGGGCATCACCAAACATAGCCAAATCGATGGCTTTCCCGCAGGACTTCTCAGAGTCTTGAAGACAACTGTGGATCTCAAAGAGGGAGTTATAACTGCAGCGTTTCCAGAATTTGCTTGGTCAAGGACCGCCTTTTCATCCCCCTACGCCCCTCCCCCAGCTATTAACATTTTGGGGACCCTAGGGTTAGGGTGGCCAACTCCCCCTGTTTCCCCAGGACTGAGGGGTTTCCTGGGACATGGCATTTTCAGTGCTAAAGCCCGGAAAATCCCTGTAAAGAGGGACACATTGGTCACCCAGGAAAAACCCATCTAGAGGGAGAGTTTGGTCACTGGCGAGGGTGTTTCAGGATAAAGAGAGAAGGCTGGGGAGAGAGGAACAGAACCGAAGGCCCACTGGAAGTCACTGGAGACGGGCGGTGCAAGTTACTGAAACGGGGGTGGTGGGAAGTGATGGGGGACGGATAGTGGGAAACACCGGCTCTGGAGGTTTTGTAGGCTTGATGGCCCGAGTCCTTCTGCTTGCTTGAGGGGACACCGCCATCTAGTGGCCATCTGGCAACAGTGTCCTGTTGTTGGTTTTTCTGCAGCCAACTTTATCCAGGAAATTGGGGGCGGGCTTGTGAGGCGGGGAGGAAGGGACAAGAGGACCTTAACATGTCTGACTTGTGTAGTTTTTTTGGGTGGTGGGGGCTTTTTTTGTTTGTTTTGCTTTTGAGTCGGGAGTCTCACTCTGTCACCCAGGCTGGAGTGCAGTGGCATACTCATGGTTCACTGCAGCCTCGACCTCCTGGGCTCAGGTGATACTTCTGTCTCAGTCTCCCGAGCTGCTGGGACTACAGACACGTGCCACCACACCTGGCTAATTTTTTTTTTTTTTTTTTTTGTAGAAAGCTCTCATTATGTTGCTCAGGCTGGTCTCAAATTCTTGGGCTCTGCCTCTGCCTCCTAAAGTGCTGGGATTACAGGTGTGAGCCACCATGTCCAACCTGACCATGTAGTTTTAAAGCCCCAGGTTCTCATGTTACAGACACAAGCCTCCATGGCCTAGAGGCCAGCTAAGTCAGCAGCAGCAAGGAGCAGGTCTTCACACAGCGAATGTCGCCTGGATTCCCAGGACACACAACAGGTCCAGGGAGGAAGGTGCTGAGACTGTAGTTGGTGACAATCACACCCTGCCCCACCCCAAGCACGCTGCCAAGGCTCCTTTCCCACTGGAGGGAGCAGTTTTGTTTTGTTTTTCAGTTGCAGTCTCACTCTGTCGCCCAGCCTGGAATGCAGTAGCATGGTCACGATCACGCCAGCATTGACCTGCTGGGCTCCGGCGATCCTTCCACCTCAGCCTTCCAAGTAGCCAGAACTACAGGCGTGTGCTACCACGCCCGGCTAAGTTTTGACTTATTGTAGAGATGAGGTCTCGCCAAGTTCCCCGGGCTGGTCTTGAACCTGCGGGCTCAGGCAATCCACTCACCTCGGCCTCCCAAAGTGCTGGGAATACAGGCTGAGCCACCGAGCCCGGCCTTGATAGAGCAGTTTTAAAGGCTGTGGACTGGAGGCAGGAGGCCAATCCATATTCTGGGCCTGATCTGCCACTCCCTGGGTGTCCTCACAACCTTGGGCCTCTGTCCCTCTCCTGTGAAATGGGGAGATTGACTGGGTCAGTGTCTCCCAAAATGCCTAAAACACTTCATACTTGCATGTGTGTGCGTTCAGAAAATACGTCAAGAGCCTGTCAAGTTTATGATAAAATGGATGCTATTGTGCTGTCACTCAATTTAGAGAAAAGAGTCAACGTAAAGAAGAGAAAACACCCTGCAGACACGATGGACATGGTGCCAGTGGTCTGTGGGCAGCTGCCTTAGGTCTTCCCACTTGGGTTGCTCTAGACCAGCCCCAACAGGCAGGGCTATGGTCCTTGCAGCCCGAGGTCTGGCTCTCCCTCCAGCCCAGAAAAGCTGCTCTAGCTTCAAGGGACCAAGCAGCTCTGTTCTGCATTGCTTCTGATGGGCAGGGAGGTCGCTGATAGATAGCACGGTGAGAGGGGTGGGCAAGGTCCCTGTCATTGAGGACTGGCCTGACTGTCCCTCTGCTGCCTGTTCCCACCGTTCTGGGAGCCGCCCTCTGGTCTATATCGCCAGACGTCCACTTATCTGTGGGGTAGTTGTTTGGTCACCCTCCCAGGCGGCTTCAGCCCTTCTCCTCTCCCCACCCAGCAGTCCTCTCCCCAGCAGGTGTCAGAGAGGGGCCCAGCGGTCGTGCTCAAACTCAGCGTCGCCAGAACCGAATGAGCAGCTGCACCCCTCACCTTCGGCAGCAGGGACAACCCAGACCTTCTCTCTTTGTTTTCCAAATAGATTTGAAAGTGACCTGAAGGCAATGACCGGCCGAGCTCTCAGCTGGTACTGGAAGGTCATGTGGGCCGGCGTGAGCCCGCTGCTGATCGTCAGCCTCTTTCTCTTCTACCTGAGCGACTACATCCTCACGGGCACCCTGCAGTACCAAGCCTGGGACGCCTCCCAGGTATCTGCTGTCCCTGCAGGGCTGGCACGGGGTCCCCCAAGGTCACTCTTGAGCACGAGCCTTTCGTGTTCTGAGACCGAGGACCTGTTTCCATGGTGTGGGTAGGTTATTTGCCACAACAGGGAAACTTCTCGTTTTATACGTCTGTTTGGGATGGCAGAGCTTTTAAGCATGCGTTGCAGGGATGAGAGAGGAAAGTCCCCCTCCAGAGCATCCCGGCGGGCCTTTTCCCTGGGAGCTGAGAAAAAGTCCCCAGAGAAAGTGCTGCTTCTGCCTCTTGGGCAGCTCACCCCTCTGTGGCCACCAAAGTGGACAGCACTGATCCAGAACCAACCTACCTTCTTTCCTTCCTTCCTTCCTTTTCTTTCTCTCTTTCTCTCTTTCTTTCTTTCTTTCTTTCTTTCTCTCTCTCTCTCTCTCTCTTTCTTTCTTTCTTTCTTTCTTTCTTTTTTTGAGGTGGATTCTCTCACTCCATTGCCCAGGCTGGAGTGCAGTGGCACGCTCACAGCCACCCCAGCGTCGACCTGCTGGGCTCCGGCGATCCTTCCACCTCAGCCTTCCAAGTAGCCGGAACTACAGGCGCACACTACCACGCCCGGCTAATTTTTTTAATTTATTGTAGAGACGAGGTCTCGCCATGTTGCCCGAGCTGGTCTCAAACCCACGGACTCGGGCAATCCGCTCGTCTCAGCTTCCCAAAGTGCTGGCATGACAGGTTGAGCCACCAAGCCCAGCCCCTTCCCTTCCTTTCTCCTCTCTCCCTTCCTCCTTTTTTGTTTTGAGTTGGAGTCTTAGTCTGTCACCCAGACTGGAGTGTAGTGGCACGCTCACAACTTCCGCAGCCTCGACCTGCTAGGCTCAGGCAATCCTTCTGCTTCAGCTTTCCAAGTAGCTGGAACTACAGGTGCCACCATGCCCGGCTAATCGTTTGATTTATTGTAGAGATGGGGTCTCAACAAGTTGCCCAGACTTGTCTCAAACCTGTGGTGGGTTCAGGTAATCTTCTCACCTCTGCCTCCCAAAGTGCTGGGATTACAGGCGTGAGCCACCACGCCCAGCCAGAACATTTCTACCATTGCAGGACATTCTGTTCTGGACTCAAGGTAGACTCCTGTGTGTAGGTAACCCTGAAGGGTGCCTTGAATGTAGGGTTCTTGATTCCTCTTGAGTTTATTCTTTTTTTTTTTTTTTAAGTTGGAGTCTCACTCCTCGCCCAGGCTGGAGGGCAGTGGCACATTCACAGCCACTGCAGCCTTGACCTGCTGGGCTCAAGTGATCCTTCCACCTCAGCCTTCCAAGTAGCTGGAACAACAAGCACGCGCCACCATGCCCAGCTAATTTCTTGATTTATTGTAGAGACAAGGTCTTTCCAAGTTGCCCAGGTTGGTTTCGAACCAGCAGGCTCAGGCAATCTTCTCTCCTAGGCCTCCCAAAGTGCTGGGATTATAGTCATGGGCCACCGCGCACAGCCGCATTTATTCTGGACAGGCAGCTCCAAACAATAGCTCCCCATACACGTTGAAGTAGGTACTGTTATTCCTAGTTTACAGAAGAGAAAGATGAGGGTAGTTAGTCTCCCCAGTATACCTGCTAGGGAACTGCAGAGCCAGTGGCCTGGATGTGAGGATGCCAGTCCCCCAGGCCCTGGGCCCAGACCCCAGCCTGTGCACCACGGTTGGGAGCCCTAGGCCTGGGTGGCAGGACTCTTGGGAGGTTCTTTCTATTGACACTTGGGTTTCTCCTTCCAGGGCCAGCTTGTGACCAAGGATTACCCCGCATATGCACTGGCTGTCATTGCGTTGCTCGTGGCCTCCTCCGCCATGTGCATCCCACTGGTGGCCCTGGGGACTTTCGTCTCGCGCCGCCTCAAGAAAGGAGACACAGCCCCCGTGGCCTGAGATCTGGGCTCCCCAGCCGCTCACTGTGTTCCAGCCACTATTGACAGGCTAAACCTCCTCGGCTGCTTTTTAAAATATCTCAGCCAGAAGTACTCAGCCTGGCTACTTCCTGAGTCTCCGAAGAAGAATTAGGAAGGTGTGGAGGAAGAAGACTCCCTCGGGAGAAAGCACACACCCTCCACGAAGCTGCCCTTCCTCCCCTCTGCCTGCCTCAAGGGGCCTGCGTGCTGCCTCCTAGGGAGGGTGGCTGTTAAGGCTGGTCTGGGAGATCACTGCGTCCTTGATTCTAGGAAAGTCCAAAATGAGGGTGCGTGGTGAGCTGAAATTTGACTATTATTCTTATGGGACAAATAGGCAATTTTGTTTTTTGCTGAAGAGACACCAGCGTATAAGAGGACAATCATTTTTAGATCCGTTTGAGAAGTGGTTTGAAGTGCCTGAGATGACACACTTGAATGTCACTGGTGTGAAATTCATTTTCTTCTTTTCTTGAATCAGTGAATATTCAGTTTCTGCGTTCTCTTTCCACCCTTTAGATGCTCATAGGATTGACTGGCCAGAAAGAAAGAAGACCCGAGGGAGTTCCCTTTCTCTTATCTAAGGTCCCTCACAATGGGCCAGTACCAATCCTCTCTACAAAAACTGCCTCCACTGCAGTTTGCAACCCCAGACCACAAGAGGAGTCTGTGCAGACAACCCTGCTGTGGTGTCTCCGTGTGGTAGAAAAGGTGTCAGATGCCACTGTGAGGATGGAAGTGAGTCTAACTTTCCCATAGACTTAATATCATATTTGGACATCATGACCAACTCTGTCAAGACCACAGACATCACTTACAATCATTTTTAAATTATTTATCTGTACATAATTTTTCTAAAATGTATATAATTCAGAGCATCTTGTAACTAAAGACACACCATATTTATAATATAGCGTAGTCCACTGTGCTAATTTGTCCTTTGTTTTTTTTTTTTTTGAGTTGGAGTCTCATTCTGTCACCCAGGCTGGAGGTCAGTGGCACGCTCTTGGCCACCGTAGCCTCGACCTGCTGGGCTCCAGCAATCCTTCCGCCTCAGCCTTCCAAGTAGCTGGAACTACAGGCGCGCACTACCATGCCCAGCTAATTGATTTATTGTAGAGATGAGGTCTCACCAAGTTGCCCAGACTGGTCTCAAACCCACGGGCTCAGGCAATCCTCTCACCTCAGCCTCCAAAGTGCTGGGATTATAGGCGTGAGCCACCACACATGGCCTTTTTTTTTTTAACTGCAATAAAGTAGGTCAAGTTTACCCCTAAAGTGAGAGGGGGTCCCTTCCTGCTCTAACCCTCAGTGCTTCACTGAGATCACAGAATTCAGGAGAGTTTCTTTGGGAGTGATCTTTCAGGAAAGAAGTCTTTGTGCAGACATTGTTGAAGACAAACACTCACTTGGGACATCGGCCAGAGAAGCCTTTTTCTTTTTGTTCATGCTGTAAACGTTCCTATGCAAAACGGGGCATTAGAAAGGTCTTCTGCCGTCTTGAGTTGCCATCTTATCAATACTTCCGGCTTCACCCGGTGTCCAGTTATAAAAAGATCACTTGGCATTCACTTGTATGAACCAACATTTATTTACCCCAAATATTTGGTCTTCTCATCAGATGAATTTTTAGTGTCGAAAAACCTGACATCAAAGCTTGAAGAGAGGACACACTTGTGGCAAACACAGCACAATCACACTCAGGATCATGGTCACAACCTGGGGCCACCCCCTCCTAGGGTCAGTCATCAGTCAGGGTGCGTAACCCCTGAGCCCCAGGTGTCCTCACGAGTGAAGAGACAAGTGTCCCAGATCATTACTTTATTCAGTGTCTCCCACCTCGCCACCCCTTCTAACAACCTGAGAACATTTAAAGCTCCGATGCCCAGGCCATGCCCTGAGACCACCCAACAGACCTTCTGGAAGTAGGCCCTGGGCCTCAGTAGTTTTTATTTTTATCTTTATTTTTGTCACCTAGGCTGGAATGCAGTGGCAGGCTTACAGCCACCACAGCCTCAACCTTCTGGGCTCAAGAGATCCTTCCGCCTCAGCCCTCCAAGTAGCTGGAATTACAGGCATGCACCATCACGCCAGGCAAATGTTTTGATTTATTGTAGAGATGAGGATTTGCCATGTTGCTCAGGCTGGTCTCAAACCCTGGGCTCAGGCAATCCTCCTCTGCCTCCCAAAGCACTGGGATTATAGGTGTGAGCCACCCACCTGGTGCAGTTTTTAAAACTCCCCAGGTGACTCTGATGTGCAGCCAAATCTGAGAGCCAGGCTCCACTTAGGAAAGAAGGAAAATGGATCATATGCTTAGGAATATTTACATCAAAAGGACTTAAAAGTCTGAAAGCACTTTTGAGTATTTCCAATTATATGGAAAACTCACTGATTTTTGTTTTTTTGTTTTTTTTTTTGAGTTGGAGTCTCACTCTGTTGCCCAGGCTAGAGTGCAGTGGCATACTTACAGCCACAGCAGCCTCAACCTGCTGGGCTCAGGTGATCCTTCCATCTCAGCCTTCCAAGTAGCCAGGACTACAAGCACACGCTACCACACCTAGCAAATTTTTTTTTTTCTTTTGGATTTATTGTAGACACGAGGTCTCACCATGTTGCCCAGGCTGGTCTCGAACCCGCAGGCTCAGGCAATCCTCTCACCTCGGCCTCCCAAGGTCACTGTTATGTAATAATTTTTGCTCATGGAAATCAGATGGATGAAGTGCCACTATTACAGAATGTGTTCCAGATGAAAATGTCTCGTGTTTAAGTTTTAGTCTGATTTCTGGGAACTTCATGAAGAGCAGAACATTCTTCAGTAACCCCCTTGAGCCAGGAATAAATCCTGTCTCAAAAAAATTCCTTGCTATCTCCTAGGCACTGCACAAGAATGGGCATTTTGACATTTGCTGGGGAGCAAAAGGGACATTCCATCCCTGTATCCATCCCTGGCATCATGGCCAGGTTGTAGACTCTGGCAGGCTTTCTGTTTTTACCGGAAACATAACCCTTGACTTAGCTCTAAGAAATCAAGTAGGGAAATATTTGGGTTTTTTAAAGCAATTGTTATAGTAAATAAAACCCTAAGCAAGTATATCTATAGTTTTGGTTTGGTTTTTTTTGGCTTTTTTTTTTCTGGCTGCAGTTTATAGACCTCTTTCAACATAAGATTTTCCTGCATTCTATAAACACACAAGCTGATTTTGAAAAAAATGGAAAGTAAAGGGGGAAATCTTTTTTTTTTCCTATCACCTTTTTCCTTGTTTACCTCCTCTTGTGACCAGTGAAACCACACCAATGCAGTGGTCTACACACGAGATGAGAGTTAGATTCTGTAAGAACAATTCGAGAAAACATTTTTCTAATTTGTAGGACTTAAAGCAGAATGCCAGCTCTTCCAATTTGCTGTGGAATCTCTGCAACCCCTCTAAGATTGTCCTGGGCACTCTGCCCATTGCTCAGCACCTCTTTGGCCAGGGCCGTGCAAATCCACAGTGGGTCTAAATGTGACCTTAGAACCTCGCCTGAAGGGGACAAGTGTATAGACTATTGTGTTCGATTTTTGTGTGAGTTTGTTTACATAGGAAATGTGTGACTATTTTCATTCTACAGATAGAAAGGTTGAGGCAGGGAATTAACTAACCCATGATTTTCTACCCTATTATCAGTCAGGGGAAGAAAAAAAAATTACAGATTTACACATCATTTTCCAAGGCAAAAAGTGCCTGTACAAACAGGAAATTCTTTTTTTGTTGTTTGTTGAGTTTTGTTTGAGTTGCAGTCTCACTGTCGCCCAGGTTGGAATGCAGTGGCATGCTCACGGCCATTGCAGCCTCAACCTGCTGAGCTCAGGCGATCCTTCCACCTCACCCTTCCAAGTAGCCAGAATTATGGGCACGTGCCACCATGCCCAGCTAATTTTTTGATTTGTAGAGATGAGGTCTCACCAAGTTGCTCAGGCTGGTCTTGAACCCCTGGACTCAGGCA